CGCTTCAATATCTCCGAGGCTGGAAGCAGGATCCGAACTTGAAATCTGATCCTACTGCTCGCCTCTTCCGCCTCGTCGTCCAAGACCGGATGGAAGAAACACACGAGAAACTTGAGCAGTTGAAGGCGCGAGTTGTCCCGCTGGTTGCAGACAAGCGCCCGGAAGCTCGGGAGCTCCTTCGGAGGCTGCAGCTAAGCTGCATATTTATGCAATCCCGGTGGGGTTCTGAGGAACTCCGTTGCCTCGTCTGCTGTGATATATGTCTCAGGACGGGCCAGGCCTCACTCCTGGATGTGGCCCCTGTGCCAGCTCCGGCACCTCAAGCTGCTCAGGCTACGCAAGCTCCCTCGACGCCAGCTCCAGCTCAGGAAGGTGCCGTGCCGGAGCCCTCGACTGCACCTGCAGGCGAGGTGGCAGGGGCGACTCGTGCTCGCGAGCTGTAGTAAGCTGATTTGCGATGCCTTGCAGGCACTGCCGATCCCGCGCCGAAGGGGAAGCCAAAAGCTAAGGCTGGTGCCAAGAAGAAGGCCGCCGACAACCCCAAGGCTGTCTTTGACGTACGCAAGGCTAAGCCGTCTGCCCTCGCTGGAGCTTTCCCACTGGTTGACCGCACGGCTACGAAAGAGCTGGTTGGATCCGTGATGCTCCAGAAAGCAACTTGGTGGAATTATGGTATGGATGCCCTGAAAATCAAAACGTACTGGAGATCCCATGCTCAGATCATTTCACATGGATTTATAGAGACGATGCATCGGCAAGGCCGGCCAAATGGCCAAGATCGCCCTGCAGCTCCACGGCCACGAAGCTTCCTCCAAGGCCATGGACGACCTTAATGCGGCGAAAGCCAATATGGATTCGAAATGGGTTGCAACCTGATTGCATTAATTTGGCAAAACATCAATTTGCGAATTTGCTGGCAGTTGTCCGTTCCACACTATTCTGGTCCAGGAGCTGAAGAAGATTGATGACTCCCATTCTGAGGAGTGCTGGGTGGATGGGATGAAGGACACACTCATGTTATGCGATCCATTCACATAACATATAGCTTTCTGTCACAGAAACCTATATGTCATGTGAGCGGACCGCTCATATGCGGAGGACATCACACGTGCCTACTTCAACTACGTCTCCAAGGAGGAGCACCGCAGTGTGTTGCGTGAGTTTCTGCACCTTAAACACTAAACCCCTAACCCTAAACCCGAAACCTTAATCCTCGTCAGGAGTTTGCCCTGGGGTGCTGCCGATCTGTGAAGAAGCAGGA